TTTGCCTGTTACGCATGATAAATAAAGCCACGTGGCAGGATACCGTGAGTATACCGGGGTGGATCAGGTATTGACTGCGGAGAAGTTGTAGAACCTTTGAGAAGGAAGAGACGATGCAATGCGATAGCCTCATCAACATTGGCTGTGATGTCCTGTTCATGACGTCATGCATGTCATCATAGAGAAATGAATTTAAGTAGATCCATTGAATTTAATGTCTTTATTATTACATGGGTTTGTTTCGACACACCACAATGTCAGCGAGCCTCTACAAGGTTACTTTCAACTATCGAGTGTTTGCTCAGTGAAGTTGCCACAATCGCAGGTAGGCAACTCGTTCAATAGGTTTAGTAGTGTAATAAAAGGACTCAGACACTTCTTGCTGACTCCGTGTCCTTTATTTGGGGTTCGCGTTCTCCTTCCCACACGGCACTCCTCCTGAGACTCTCTCCCTGGCAGCCCCACATCTGCCTTCACTCCCGTAGCCTTCCACGCTCCTGCAGCTCCGCTGCAGGCTCTTGGTACAGCCCTCTGGCTGCTCCCCCAGCAGCTCCATCGCTGCTCCCTGTTCCTCCGTGCGTGGCGATCTCGCCACCTCCCCATGTCAGCCCTTCGTGGCCTCTATAGCTATCTCGCCATTTCCTACCTCAGCCCTTCGTGGCCTCTGTGGCTATCTCACCACTTCCTACCTCAGCCCTTCGTGGCCTCTGTGGCTATCTCGCCACTTCCTACCTCAGCCCTTCGTGGCCTCTGTGGCTATCTCGCCACTTCCTACCTCAGCCCTTCGTGGCCTCTGTGGCTATCTCGCCATCTCCAACCTCAATCCTCCACTCTCTCTTCCACCCCGCTGGCTGGCGCCGTCATGAGCCCCTCAGCCACCAGGCTGAGGCACGGCGACCACCCAACGTGTTCACCACCCTTCACTACCCCGACTGACCCAGATAGCTTCCTGTCTCCCCGCTATAACTTCTCCCCCACGTCACCCTGACTCCTCCCTCTTGGATCGTCATATCCGCCCCGCCCATTTACGCCCGCATTACACTACCCTCCCCCGTAGAGAAAATTCCAGCCGTCCTCGGCTGAAACAGAACAAAATAATGCGGGCGAAGGCATCACAATCAGGAGTCCCCCAGACACAACGGAGATTATAACAACAACAACACAAGCAACGAAAGGGGAGGTATCAGGAACTGGAACAGAACACCGGCCTGTCCTCCGCGCAACAACAACAAGAATAAGAATGGCAGAATGAACAACAACGGCAACTGACACGCAAGAACGGCCAACGCGCACAACCCAGAAATGTGATGTTTTAGTGCGTGTCCATGTTGCAGTTCCATCCGCTCGGCTCAAGTCCAACGTCAAAGAGAAAGTGGTAGAGCAGGAATGACGAACGGCGCTCAATTGCTCCTTCAAGTCCTCATCCAGCTAGCACACCAGGTAACACCCAGTGCGACGGGAGCTGAAGAATCTGTGACGAGAAGGAGAATCCAATCCCCTGAGGCACAGCACAACAACGCACATCCGCATGTCGTACACGACAGCCACCCGGCCTCAGGGTAGTGGAGATGATGTAAATCCGGCCCGCTTAAAAAAAAAACCCCAATAATTACCCAAATTAACCGCGATCGATGCCCCAGTATTTACATTTTAACAACAATATTATTTACACGTAACAACAATAACAACAAAATTTCCTGCTCTTGCCCACCAGCAGTCCTCCCTTGAGGACCAGCACAGACATCGCACGTACACAGCATGTACCCACGGTCACTCTCAGCAACCCAACAAAACGCCTAATCGCACACCCTCGCATGGAGAGAGCCACGCTCCCCAGCGGTAACGTTTAACTCGCCCTAACCCCCACCGTGGTCGTCAACCCCCAGCAACATCCACTGACCATACTCTCAGCTAGTGCAATTTCGGGGATGAGCAGCAACTCGGCCATGCTCCTCCCTTACTATCCCATCAGAGATGGACACACACCAGCCTCGTATAGTCCGATGCTTTATAGCCCAGGGAAGGTTCATCCCCCAGCAATGCCAGACCCCCTGTACTCCCCCCACGGGGCAATGTTCTCTTATAGAGACAATAACACCCTAACCCAGATCCCGTGAGCCCCCGGCACACCAGGTTCAGTCTGCCACCGCACAACTGAACCATGACTCCCCGAGCCATATGAGCACATGGCCCATTAGTTTAAGACATACCACGGAGGTTTCGCCTCCGGGCTGTCAGGTCAGCCATCAGCCATAGGCCGATGTGACCACAACTCGTGCATCACCCAATCAACAATGGCAGGCATAACAGATGGAATATTTGCCCCACCCCGGTTTTTCCCGCGCGCTCAAAATGGCGTCCCCCTTCGCCCAGCGCGTTCGCGCAATCTCTCGCGCGCACTCAAAATGGCGGCCCTTTCCGCAAAGCGCATCGTCGCCATACCCCGCGTGCGCGCAAAATGGCGGCCCAACGTGCGAACACGTGGCCAGTTTTCTCCATTCGTGCACCCCAGCTTCCCTTAGCTGGGGGTCACAAGACGCATCCCCCGTCACGTTATAACAACCCCACCAACGATAGACGCACAGCCCCAGCTTGCTGCGCACAGCTGTCATATCGTGGAATTTTTTACCAATATTTTACCAACCACATTGGTTACACAACCCAACTCGCCAAGCAACTCGTGGTTGCATGCGATCAACCGAATACGCGACGCCACTTGGCGCCAATTTACGGTCCCATTAGCATTAACCTTTGAGACACCCACAACGGCGTCATCACGCACCCTCAAAGCGCGCTCTCTCTCTCAAAAAGCGCAATTACCCATAATATACACGAAATCTCGTGTGCACAACACCAATACAACCGAATTTTAGGGTCCCCCTCTATAATATACACGCAATCTCGTGTGCACAACACCAATACAACCGAATTTTAGGGTCCCCCTCTATAATATACACGCAATCTCGTGTGCACAACAACCATACAACCAATTATTTGGGTCCCCCTCGAATTTGTTACCAATTTCCAACAGGTACGCACAATATAATAACAATCCCAATTCCAATAATCAACCACTGCATCGCACCCCATAACCATACAGAACGGTATAACAGCACATGCAATCAGCATATCGCGATCACACGCGCACATTTAAGCACAATAGCAAGCAGATCTGCAGGCAACCAACACACCATTAATCCTGTCGTAACTTTGCAGCAACAACACAATTATTCTCTCTCTTGCAACAATCGCATCGCACACAGCACCTCGCAGCACAATACACCAAAAAAATATATATATTTTTTTCCAATTAAGCCCATCACACAAGGTAACCCACAAATAATACAGCGCAAGATACCCGACGCTCCCAAGTTAATAATTAACTTCACCATCAAGATAACAACTCCACGCAGCAGCGCACACACACAATTTGACACTCAGCAAATACAGCCGACTCTCCGTCCATTCTCAACACACGCACACACTTATATTGACACCAAGCAACAAGCAGATAGCGCGTTCATCGTTATTACACACACATACACACAGTCCGAACCGCGCTCCGCACAATCGAGTCATAAGAGAAAACCAAAATAGCCCCCCGGCCCTCGAAAGATGAGTGAGGTGTGTGTTAAGGCCGGGTGCGTATCGTTATGACTCGCCCGGGGCTGCAGCAAGAAGAGGACGGCAGGGTGGCAACTTGAGACGCCTCGCAGAACTCGTTCGGCGACTTGACGGCTCCGTTGTCACGCACACGAGCCAGGACGGGAAGCTCCCGCTCCAGCAGCTGCAGCATCGGCGTCTTCTCCTCGCAGCACCCCCTCGAAAAACAGCAGCTCACAGCAGGCTGCTCACCCCGCGGCACCTCCAGATGGCAGCGCAAGGCTGCCTCTCCGCCGTGATGTTGAAGATGGCGGCGTCCTCCCGCCGCGGTGAAGACAAGATGGCGGCTTCCCGCCGTTTCTCCCCTGCCACGCCCAAGATGGCGTCTTCGTGCCACGTGGCAATGGCGCTGGCAGCGCAGGAAAGGCAGAGGCCTGCGGATCACCACCGGGCCTCCCCGACGTCGTCCTCGGCGTGGTGAACTCACACAGTTGCGCCAGCACGATTTTCAAGGTCCCCATCTGCGCCGCCATCTGTCTCCATCGTAAGTTGGCGTCCTCCGGCACAGACAGGTCCACCGACGCGGCGACACCTTGCTCACCCGGACCCGTACTCGTTCCAGAACGGATCTCCTCTTCCATCGCAGGCAGGTCCACCGTCTGAGGAAGGTCGTCGTCGTCGGATGATGTAGCAGGAATATTCTTTTTTTTGTCTTTCTCTCAGTTGTTTTGAGATGCCGTTTCACTTCTGACTCCAGTGTAATAAAAGGACTCAGACACTTCTTGCTGACTCCGTGTCCTTTATTTGGGGTTCGCGTTCTCCTTCCCACACAGCACTCCTCCTGAGACTCTCTCCCTGGCAGCCCCACATCTGCCTTCACTCCCGTAGCCTTCCACGCTCCTGCAGCTCCGCTGCAGGCTCTTGGTACAGCCCTCTGGCTGCTCCCCCAGCAGCTCCATCGCTGCTCCCTGTTCCTCCGTGCGTGGCGATCTCGCCACCTCCCCATGTCAGCCCTTCGTGGCCTCTATGGCTATCTCGCCATTTCCTACCTCAGCCCTTCGTGGCCTCTGTGGCTATCTCGCCACTTCCTACCTCAGCCCTTCGTGGCCTCTGTGGCTATCTCGCCACTTCCTACCTCAGCCCTTCGTGGCCTCTGTGGCTATCTCGCCATCTCCAACCTCAATCCTCCACTCTCTCTTCCACCCCGCTGGCTGGCGCCGTCATGAGCCCCTCAGCCACCAGGCTGAGGCACGGCGACCACCCAACGTGTTCACCACCCTTCACTCCCCCGACTGACCCAGATAGCTTCCTGTCTCCCCGCTATAACTTCTCCCCCACGTCACCCTGACTCCTCCCTCTTGGATCGTCATATCCGCCCCGCCCATTTACGCCCGCATTACAGTAGTAAGAACGCTATCTTACGGGGTCGGAGACAAGGATTTGCACTCTTGTATTGATACTATTAATACACATTCTACTATAGATACAGCATTATTAGTACTATGCATATTACAACATTTCAATATATGTAGAGTTTAATTTCTCGATATTTGCCAGGTTGCTGCTGGACTGGATTTGGCACATCACCAGTAGCCACAGCCATAGCGAGAAGTATGCAGGATGCGGTGGTGCTGAGTATGAACATATTTTATTGAGTAACCAACCTCGACAGATACGAATATTAAGCCCTGGCCATGTCATACATAACACTGATAACATATATGACATGGTCACGGATGTCTACTGGACAAATGTGAAAAGAGCGTTAAAGCCCATCGGAGTATTCTGATATATATTGAAACAAGTGTAATACATTAGAACCAATAACCTCACCTTTATAATAGCTCGCCCTACCTGTTATTTTACGCTGTACTACTCTCCCCAGCTGGGATGGCCAAGATTTACAGCCACAATGAAATGAATCCGAATCGATGGGTCGCTCCGTGCCTACTACAAACCCTGCGGGGCCTACGCGCACCCCGAAGTATGCGGCATCACGGGCATCCGTGCGGCAGGGGCACGGAGCCCACGGCGCAGTAGTGGCGACGCCAGAACTCGGCGATAGCCCTCGCCAGCACGGGGCAGAACGCCTCGCAGCCCTCGCTGCTCCGCACCGCCTTGGGCATCTCCACCTGCAGCGCGTCGACCGTGCTGCCGTAGCGCAACCCGTGCGTCTGGGTGATGTAGCCGCCGCTGAAGTATCCTCCGCCGTTGGGACCCGGGTGAGACGGCGAAGGCACGGCGGAGTACGCCCCGTCGCCCTCCCGCTCGATCGTTCCCCCCAGGCTCTGGGCACCTCGGAGCAGGAGCTCGAAGCTCACGTCGTGGCTGGCTTGCACCTTCCCGGCCAGGTGGCGGATCGACGAGTCGTCGGGCCCGAAGGTGGAGGCGTCCAGGCTCTTCCCCGAGATGGTGTAGCCCACCTCCACCCAGCCCTCGGTGTGCACCTGCCCATGCAGGTCCACGATGAGACCCACGCCAATGGAGCCCTTGGCTCGTTCGATGAAATTCATGAAGTCGTCCCACGCCTGCTCAGCGAACGAGTTCCCGAAACTCGCCTCGTCGCGATCCCTGTTGGCGTCCAGCTTGATCCGGTGCAGGTTGTTGATGACGACGTGCGGGTGGAATCCCGTGAGGGTCTTGAGATGCTCTCCGAGCTTCATGGCGACCTTGGAGCAGCAAAGCACGTGCCGTTAGATTCGAGGGGCATTTCGCATCTCCACTCACTCGTCCACGATACGTCGTCCTCGTGAGATATCAGAAGCTAAGCAGGTTTGAGCCTGGTTAGTACTTGGGTGGGAGATTGCCTGGGAGTAGCAGGTGTTAGGGGCAGGGGCTGTGAGGTGGTTAGCGGATGGCGTGCAGCAATGGGTTACTGAATCCATCTGCGCTGAGATTTGAATGTCATCCCTTTCAGATTCATGAGTTTTCTCTGGGTACTCTGGCTTGCCACTCAATAAATTTGGCAGGACCATCTTGGAAAATCAAAGACCATAGACTTACCAGAGAACTCGGTTAAATAATAGGTGGTTTAAATATGGAGTCAAACCCAGGTTTTGATTGGTACCATCTTTGAGTACTCCAACCCCTGAGACGCCCAGCCACCACGACACTCTCTCGTTTAATTCTATAGATCGCACTGTGCAGACCTGTTGCACCTCCGATTAGCACGGTTGGCTACGTACGGCGCGAAAGAAGTTCAACATACACACACACCTCGAAGATCACTCTTAACCCGGGACAGACACTTCACCTCCAGTGTGTAGAGGTCCTTCGATGTCGAGACGTCGCATCGATTTGGATCGGCAGCCAGGCCGGGCGGGCAGGTGTGCTGGAAGACGCAGACAGAGGCCGTGGGGTCCCAGCATCCGGCTGCTCGGTCTGGGATTGCGCTCGGCTTGAGGGAGCCTCCGTGCGGCACGGTGAGGATCAGGCTGAGGTTGCCGGCGTGGTACTCGGTGTAGTTGTAGCGACCGAACTGGACGGTGGCGGTGGTGCCACCGTAGAGTTGGCACGCCACTAGCAGCAGCAGCAGCAGTGACATTTCTGGGGAAGTTAAGAAGCCGGACCCCAACTTATAAATAATACGTTGGTGCGCGTCGTATTAAATTCGTTTTTTCGCTTCATTTGGAGGGTATGACACACGTAGTACACAATGTATTATATTTGAAATAAAGACATATTATCCACCAGTGTTTTCCAGCAGAATTTGTTTGAGCACCAAATTAGAGGTTGATTTTGCTCGGTGGATTATATTCGGTAACGCAAGGCCCGTTCAACAAATCGTCAACTTAAAGGTGACCGGGTGGCTCAGAGGTCAGGACACTGAGCTGATATCACCGATGACATGAGTTCGATTCCAGGCAGGTGCCCGTGATTAAACCACGTTCTAAAGCACAGTGAGTTGATGGTCTCAGGCCGGCCACCAATGTCTGCACACAAAAAATAATGCCATTGAATTCGGTTCTGCACCGAACGGCTTAGGCAATTTATGGAATATGGTAAAGCCGTCCGGTCCTCTGGGCTGCAGATATTTCCTCAGACAGCCACTAAATACGATTAAAATGAAACTCGGCACGTCCTTCTTATGGCGAGAAGAAGAAACCTCCCTCCCACGCAGGGAGAATAATCTAATGCTCGGTAAAGAGTGAAATAACTTCAAGTGTGCAAACTGCGCTGGCCGCGCGAACGAAAGCACAGGATCACTCACGGTTGGTGCGTCTCTCGTAAAAAAAAAACTTCAAAGCAGTAAAGACGCGAAGCAGTTCGACCAATAAAATATCCTCGGATTGTCGCGGTATTATAACCAAGGTTCCAGCTTATATTCTCGACACAATTCCCTATTGATCCATCATCCACTGTCCAATTGCCAATACCGTCCAGTGATGAGCATCGCAAGGGGCAGTGAACGATCGGCGCTGTAAATCGAAGGAATTGATTCGTGAGATGTGGACACATTTATTATGATAATGAAAAGGTGTGTCGCGTCCAAATAAGGTCACCCTGGGCGTGTGCTTGCCCATTTAATAAGTTATGGAACGAGAATCGAGAGTGAGCGTGATTCTGTGCTCAGAAGCGACGCCGATGAAAAACCAAGGTCGGACGCATGCTGAAACCCATTGCGTTTGTAGGGTTGCACTCACAACAACAACAACCACCGCAGGCAATTCGCCACGAAGTGGCGGTGACGTCACCACGGTGCCTGCACTCACAAATACAAAGATCCCCCGTGGAGCCTTAACAGACTGTAGGGGCAAGTGTTGTCAGCGAGCACCTACGAAGGCCGGAACGGCAGACGAGGGGGTGGGTGCTCAGCACCACGCCCGACCGCCTTTGTCTCACCAGTGGCGATGTTTACACACCACACTAGGTACTCATTTGAGGCTGTGTCGACCAAGGGGGGGCGCACAGGACCAGTTCATAAAATCGTCACTGGTGTTGGCCGTGAGCGTGAATCGAACTCGGGTGGCCTGTTTCGTAGCTAACCGCTGCACCACCACTCCCCACACAGCAACATACATACAGACATGCACACACATAAGCCCCAAATATACACACACACATGATACGTACACACACACTGAACATACACAAACAGAGTACAAGCGTGTGGTCTGGCATGATTTTGTGGGTTTGAGCATGGGGTCTAGCATGGTGGTGTGCATGGGTAGTTCGTGCATGGGGGTTTAATCACGGGATGGAGCGTCGTTTTTTTATGTTGCAGCTTTGCAATCGACGCGACAATTCATAAGCAGCTCCGAGGGAATCGATTCTTTCCATTGGATGGTCATCGTCTGCTCATTGCTTCCCATTGGCTGGAGTTGGCCCAAAATGTTTTTCTTTTAAGTCAACAGACAGGTTCAGGGTTACGAATATAAAAATAGCTCGCTCTACAAGGACATCAAACACACAACAAGTGCACATTTTCCCACCGAAAATAAAAACACCGCGTCAGGGTTTTGCCCCTCGTCACCCCTGCACGTTGACACTGACGGTGCTTTCATGAATCCACTGCTGGATGAGGGCCTCCCCAAGCCGCGCGTCGTCGTCTTGGGGGTTGACCAAGTCCCCACGCTTGGCCAGTGTCGCTTGGTGAAGGCGGAGAGAGCGTAGACGCGGGTCGGTAGGAGGTGGGGGGATAGAAGTAGAGTACAACAATGGATTGAGTTTTGTGCCGCACTGCCCTCTGGCTGACTGCCACGTGGCGCAGCCGTGCGCACAGCACGCGGCTGGCTGTACGACACCCACCACGCGGCTGGCTGTACGACACCCACCACGCGGCTGGCTGTACGACACCCACCATGCGGCTGGATGTACGACACCCACCACGCGGCTGGCTGTACGACACCCACCACGCGGCTGGCTGTACGACACCCACCACGCGGCTGGATGTACGACACCCACCACGCGGCTGGCTGTACGACACCCACCACGCGGCTGGCTGTACGACACCCACCACACAGGCGCACGGACGTCGCGCAAGGTCATGGCCATCGGTCGTCATTTACAACCTCCACTGCTACGAGACATAAACCGAAGCCCAATTCAAAGAGCCGGGAGCCAAAGCCTGAAAACTTCGATAAATGCAACAACGTCCAGACTTCCTCCCATCATCGATCCCCCCCCCAAACTGCCTTCCGAATAAACCGGATTCCGAACCGTCCGTAGCCGCTGCGAACATATCCTGGCTTTAACCACCCTCAGCGCAACTGGTTCCCGGCGTCAACGGAACACTGGCACGGCGATGGTTGTGACCTCTCGACCTCCTCCGACAGTTTGGCGTCGCGGCCTCCTGCTGCAGTCGACCAAAATCACCAGACGCCGGTTCTGCCGTACACCCAATCGACGCTCCGCTCAGTAACCCTACCGTCGGGATACAATTCGCTGGTGACCGCAAGTCGCAAGAGAATCGTGAATACCGCCCCCCATCAAGGCTCGGCATTCGCACCGGCCTGGCGTGTACATCATCGCGGACATTCACGAAGGAGGCATATTTCTGTAGCTGGAGACTCCGACCAAAGTTTAATAATAATAAAAACCCCCACGAGCGGCTTTCCAATTGAACAATCGTGCAGCAAGGCGCCACCCCTGACGCGTCCTTCCGTGGTCGCTCCTGAATATAGTGGCAGACGCAAGGATCGAAGCACGCATCGGCGCGCGCCTCGTACTCTGGTGGTAGTGACTCATCCCGAGAGCTCCTACTCTCAGCCAGCCTGGCAACGCGTGCGAAATTAAGCCCTGGCGGTGGTGGTGGCGGTGGTTAGACCGTAAGAGCGGTGTTTGGAGGTCACGCCGGTGGTGCGTGTCAACAACGCCGACTCTTGAACGATCTGGGGGGGGCGAGGGGGGGAAGTGATGGCGAGATGTAACAGCATCGAAGGAAGGCCAAGAGCCGGGACGACCTCTTGACCCTGACACGTGGCGAGCTCGGTGGCAGCCCTTCACAGCTGGGGCGCACGCGGACCAAGCGGAGGAGGCGCTCGCGCGGGCACCAGAGCGGAGCGAGGGACGTGGAGAGTTTGCGAGCCTCGGAGTCTGCGGCGGCGAGTCTCGGGGGCGCGCGCGCGTGCACGCGCAAGGGGCGAGCTCGGGCACTTCGCGCTGACGCTTAATTAGAGAGAGCGGGGGGGCCATCAAAGGGGGCGAGCGCGCTGGTGGCTGCGGTGCGCCAGATAACAGCCGAGGCGTTGCGTGGCTCTGAGAAATAATTAAACCTTATAAATTGCGTTGACGCGGGATGCATACGAACAAAAAGCCCCCCCCCCCCCCCACTGCCACAACTCTCGGGGCTCTCGTGCAAAATGCCAACACACGGGGGGGGGGGGGGCACACTCGACCGCATTGGTTTGAACGTTATTTATTATTGTTGTTTAAAATTGGTGCGGATCGTAATCAAAGGCGGCGGTGGACACGCCGACATTCGCTCGCCGGTAATCGACGGCAATCAGTCCCACGGCGAGCAGGCCTCGCGAGGGTTCGTGCTCATCGCTGTGTTGTTCCCCGCGTACGGAACAATCCTCAGGGCTACACACACACGGGGTGCCCTCCCAGTGATGTGCCCCCGACGGTGTGCGCGCGAGAGAAGTCACTTGAAGGGAAATCAGTGGTAGTTCTGTGATATGCCCTTCAGTGGGCCGGTGTGTGTTGCGCGGAAGCGCTGCATTATACCCCGCGCGCGAGAGGTCCCAACTGATGCATCGTGACATGTTGGCTACGTGCGCACCTCCGACTAGCACGGTTGGCTGCGTACGGTGCGTGAGAAGTTCGACATAGACACACTCAATTTGGTTTTCAGTTAATTCTACAGAAACATGTAAAAACTCTGGAGGATTAAAAAGGCGCATTTTCATTTGATTTCTACGCGATGGGCATCTCTGTAGCAGGACACGTGGGAAAGTGCGGCGCCCATCGCGTGTGGTGGATAAGAGATCACTCAGAAGTCTTTTTGTGATATCGCCTTCAAAGATTCCAGTTTAATTTCTGTTCCGCGAGAGTGCTCAAAGGAAATGCGTTTGTCTCGTGACGTGGCACTGATATAGCACAATTGGAATAAAATTGTTAAGAAAGACAAAACAAAATTTATAATCAAAGTCACTTTCAATTGTTTGTTGGATCCACTAATCTGGTGATATCAATGAAGCTATACCTCATTTCAAACTTTAGCAAGTTAGATTTTTTTTTACCGAATTTCAATTTCATTTGAAAATTGCTACCGCGTCTGATTCTTTATCACCGTGTAAGAAGGGGGCTCGTGGTCCCATTGGACTCTCACCTGACGTTAAAATAAAGGTCACCCTCTATCTGAAGGCAAGGAGGGACTCGATTACAAGCGCCACGCCGGCGCCTTTAATGGCAAACCCGGCTCGCGCACGGCACGGCACGGCGTCTCAGAGACCCGCATTAGCGGCACGCGGAATGATCCCGCCGTTCCTTTAGTCCGATAAGCTTAGCCCGAGCTAAATTGTTTTCGAGATTCGGTAATCACACCTCGTGATTTCAGCCCCGAGTCATTACGGGGAGGCGCACCGCACGCGCGCGGCGACGAGTCGCGCGGCGCGGGGACGTCGTTCTCGACAGCGCCGAGGCGGCGCAAGCTCTCCTGCTAGGTCCGCACTGTATGTACGTTGAACTTCTTTTGCACCGTATGTAGCCAAACGTGGTAATCAGAGGTGGCAGGGAAAGACCTAACAAAACACAAAAACGCAGTTCTAAAGAAATTCGTCTTCAAAAGTGCATCGCTCCAGTGGCTTCCTAAGATTGGAAGAGCGTTCCAGACGGCCGCAGAAGCGCGTCTGAAAGGGCGCAATGCGGTAAGCGTCTTTGTTCGATGGCTTAGCCAAAAGCCGCTGCTGCGAGGATGACCGGAGTGCGCGTGATGGTTTATGCTCCTTGACGAGATCAGCAAGGTGTTGTGGTTCACCTGTGGCTAGCCACTTTGTGTGTGCAATGAGTGCGACCGTCATAATGTATTCGTTCGGCAACCGAAAACCAATGGAGCTCCGGGAGCACTGCACGGACATTGTCGGATGACACGTGCCAAAAAAAAAAAACACGGGAGAGTGGCCTCTGTGACCTAGGAAGGCCTTTTGTGTTCCAGCATCGCTCTGTGTATGTGAAGCTGCCACTCGGTGAGCCACGCGGATTCCGTAGGCTTGGTACTGCCCTGGCTCACTCCCCACTCCCAAGGGAAAGCGATCACAATCATACAAGAAAAGGATTGCACCGTGGGCCGTACGCTGACACGAGGGGTAGCGATGCTCTGCGAGAGCGCCAGACGGATTCTTCATCTCGTTAAACAGACACCAATAGAGCAATTGATAAACAAAAATCATTGGGGAGAAAGACTTAAAGGAAATTTAATGAAAAAAAAATGTTGTTGCATCGTGGGAATTATTCGAGACATTGGTGGCTTGCGGAAGCACTTCATCCAGCAGTGCACGGATCATGGCTGGTGGTGGCGATAGGCGAACATGTAGGACAATAGCACTTCTATTGAGTGGAAGACATTTTGCTCAAGAATAGCCAGGCTACTCCACATAAAGGGTATTGCCCAACACTTGATGTATTTTGCTGTTGTAATAATAATTTGGATTTAATCCGACTGCATCACGACGTCTACAGAAAGCGAGAACAAATGGTAATTGTTTAAAAAAAAAGTCTCCAAGTTACTCTCAGACTCACGACAGACGGGGGGGGGGGGCAGTCCTCCGCACGCAAAATGGAGGCCAGGCGAGAGCTAGGAGGCAGCGCCGGGACAAGGTCAGTAACTGGGAAAAAAGAAACAAATCTCAACAAATGAAATATGTAAAACTATCATGGAGAGGAGCAGGGGAAAATGGAGTTGGGTTTTGGCAGCGGTAACATTTAGCGCTCTGCTGCCCGACCCGCAGGGAGGGGAGGAAGCACACAACGGTACCACGACCGCCAACTCGATGGCGGAGTTGACGAGCAACGTGCCACGTGTAGCCCGCTCCCTGCGCACCAGTGCCAACGCAGCTCCCTGCATGTGGACGCGGTAGAACACGGGCCTCCTCATCATCACCATCATCATCATCACCACGATCCATGGGCAGACAGCCCGTAGTAGGTGTCCACTGCACATGTCGTCATGCGTCTCTCTACTTTCCTCTCTGGCTTGTGCCAATATGCTCACATAATTACTATTTCTCTGCTTAGCGACAGCATAAACTCGAACAAGTACAATGCCACAGCATAATTTTATTCAACTACGAAAAATATTAGGCAGACAGTTCTTCTGTACACGTATAAGAATTTATAGAGATATTTCCCCCCCAAGTCAAAAAATACAGGAACGTTTGTAGTACCACGTAAGACCACAGCATAACGGATAAAGGTCATTGTAACTGCTGAGATTAAACAAAAATCTTTATTAGAAACCTACCATCCCCATCCCCCCTCGAGTTATTTAAAGATGCTCTCACTGCGGCCCAGCCATTCAGTCAAAGGTATCTCTTGTCTCTTCTTCACCATCTCATCTGCATTGTTTGTTTGTAAAATTTTTACATTATCATCGCATTAGCCTAAATCAAACATTACACGGTGCTTACATCGTGAACAATCGATGATTATACGCGGGATTTCATACGTATATATTGTGAGCGTACACATTCATTGTAATCAATTAATCGATTCATCGCTCCTTGCCGGCATCTCGCCCAACTCAACTGGCTCCCATCAGCCAGCACAACAGGCATTGCGAGTCGCTGTGTAGGGGATGCACAACCATCTTCACAGAATGTTACTAGATTCACGGACGTTTTTGAGGTGTACTTGTGCAAACTATGAACATCTGGGCGTTGGAGAGAGCGACAGCCCATCATCGATTTGTGGGAAGTCAATGGTGCATGACCTTCGGACAGACTCGCCCCCACCAGAGGATTGTGGAGTTCCCACTGCCAGCACAGGGCCAACAAGTGGAGATTTGGCCCAAGCAGGGAGACATCGGAGAAAGCCATCGTTACATTCGTCACTTTACGTGGTGCTTGGAGAAATTACAATGAGCATCTAATTGGCACCGCCACCACAAGCAGTTACGGAGCCGAGTTGTGAATCTCTTGAAGGGTGCACTGAGTCTGAGTACTGCGTCCACCGTGCCAAACAAATGCGTGGAGACTACATCTGCCCTCTGTGCCGTACAATAATTCTGTAGTTGAATTTGAAGGATTATAGCTTCCAAACGCCACCGCGTCTCGATGGGGTTCTCAGAGTGCAGCGGTCGCAGCAATACACGGCCACTGCTGTCTTAAATGCGAACTAAATAAACTATTTTGTTTTAGTTTAGTAGGTAAGGCCCACTGAGCTATATAGATTAGATTATTTTCAGAAGCGACCTGGCTATCACAAATAACAGCCCAACGAAGTGGCCCATTATCACATGCAAATTTATAACAGCAGACAAAATACTCTGAATCGTTTCTAAATGTGGAGGGGAAAACCTGAGGGCCCGGAGAAAAATCCACACGACCACGGGGAGATCATGCAAACTCCAAATATACAGCAGCAGGCTTCGTCAGGGTCAGGATCGAACCCACGACCTCCTGTATACCAGGCGAGGCAGTTAACACCTCGCCTCCGTGGCGCCCCAATAAGACGGCTCATGTGGCAGGTGTAGTTCAAGCGGAGAGTAGTGATCTAGTTTTGAGGGCACGATGTCAGGGCGTTGGGCTGCTCTCTCCTTCCCGAGCTCACTCCTCCCATTCCCTCCCGTTTCCTCGACTTCGCCTGCACCCCGAGACGGTTTGTTACACTACGGGCGAATAGCAAAATGCAAGTTGTTGTTATTCCCGTCGTCGTTGTCAGTCGACCACGCTATGGGACTAAAAGAGAGACGCCGGATAAGAACCCTCGGCACTTCTCACACTTGCGGCCGTGCCAACTCGCTTGCCGAAAACCGACCGTGTGGGCGGGCGGGCGTCAAGAAAAGAAAGAGAGGGAGGGAGGTGGGGGCCGCCACGCTCGGCCTCGTTACATCTTCGTCAAGAGGCAGCAGCGTGGGCGACAGGCGGGCAGGCACGCTGCCACCCTACAGGTCACCTAAGGGCCTCAGGCCCACGGGGCAGGAGACGCCAGTGCCCCCCAGGCCACAGTAGCCCCCCGGGTTCTTGTGCAGGTACTGCTGGTGGTAGTCCTCTGCGTAGTAGAATGGTCCGGACATCTGGATCTCCGTGGTGATCTGGCCAAAGCCGGAAGTTGTCAGCATCTGGGGACGGAAAAGGGGGAAATTGCAATATTGCATTGTGACATTTATAAGAAAACTAAAAAATCGGTTTACTATCTCTATAACTTGCCACGCGAAATAAAATGAGGCTTTATTATCACTGGCATCTCACTATTGTCGTCCGTTTGCCGCAAAGGTAAAGAAAAGTACAGGTGCAGCCCCGCAATTACCCGTTCATACGGCTGCTGGTGGAAGGGCCCCCACGAGAGTGAGCTATCGTACACAGCGGCCGGACGTCTTAGAAGACTTGAGAGGCCCTACGCTTTACCCCACCACACCTGACCTGCCGATCAACTGACTGGTGAACCCTTTTCTTTCTACCTCTCGATGGACTGAGGTGGGGGGGCCGGGGGGCGGAGAATGAATAACAAAATGCGCCCATCGTCTCAGCTGCCATGCCTGGAGATCGAACGAACCGGCGACATCCGCATTGCAAGTCCGGTGAACTGCACTTCGTCCCTGGGCCAGAGAAAAAAACTGCTCACCCCACCCAAGGCAGCAACATCTTTCGTCGAAACCCATTTTGTGTATACGGCTAATAAGAGTGAATTACGCGACTGCCAACACATTTCAAGCGGCGATTGGGTCACATTTTGAAATTCGAAGCGTTCACGCGACGTCAGCTCGGGTGGTTCCCGACGGCAACGGAACAACGATCTGGTTTGGGGCTCGTGGATGGAATCGTGAACGGCGGCACCGTGGGTGCCGAACCGTGGCGGCACCGCATCCATTCCATTTGGACGGCGAACAGCCTAGAAAATGGCCACGCGTTTGCAGTGGCACAGAGCGAGACGCGGCGGCCTGGGCCCCGGGACTCCCTCCAGCAGGGGTCTCGCTCGAGCCAAGCGCCGGGCGCCCCCTTCGCTCACGCCGGGCTCGTGGCAAGCAGCCGATTTGCACGGCCTCAGGAAAGCCAAACCCCTACTAACCTGCGCTCGTTTTACACCACAGTTTACTGACTGAAGCCCCCCCCCCCCCCTTTCTGCGTGTTGGACTCTAGGGGGCTCTGTGCTCCCAGCTAACGGCTGGGCAGGTGCTGAAGCCATTATCGGAATGTTGCGGCTGCTGTTGGCATTTCTATTCGTATCCACCCCCGCCCACCCTTCTGCACACTCCACACGCACACACCGCCCGACACACCCCACACCACACACACACACACCCCCCACACACACGTCACCCCACACACACACATCGCCCCACACACATCGCCCCACACACACACAGACATCACCCCACACACACACACATCACCTCACACACACACACACACATCACCTCACACACACACATACCACCCTGCGCACACTCCGCTGCGAATGAAGCGGACGCTCTTTGTCTCTGTGGCAGCAATTTGCATCGCGTCCACGAGCCTCCCTCGGCCCTTGTCACCCACCGGCCCCGCAGCTCCGGCAGCAGGAGAAGGAATTCCCTGACACGCGTTGCGATCCGTCGAGAGCGGACGGGAACGAAACGGGGACGTGGAGGAAGCCTTTGTTGATGGAGGGGGGGGGGGTTAGGAGGTGGGGGGGGGGGGCTGCGGGTGTCGGAATCCATTTTGCGGCGGCGATGGCCTCAGTCTCTCGCGGAGTCAGCGATTCTGTTGCGGGTCTCACCCAGAAGTCCTCAACAATCACTGCCTCCAACACCCCCCCCCCGTCACCCGCCCCCCACCGCAACCACCATCAGCAGGCCAGGCCACGCTTTGAGCGCAACCCAAACACATCGATGCGTTTTCACATCCACTCTGGGATCACAGCTCGTTACGCGCGTATCTCCAGACAGCGCTTGCATCGGCGGCGCATGAGCCATCGGCATTGGGGTATTGTTATTATTCCTTTGTTGAATGCCGGTGCCACGCGTCGGTATACACAGGTGCACGCACAACGACGGCGGTGGGACGCGAGACGCGATGCGATTTAAACGGGTGATCAATTCCCTCTTGGCGTGGCGCGCGTGCAACCTGGGGCCGTGGGCGACGCGTGGCCGGCGGCTGGCGACGGCGTGAAGGGTGCAAGGTGACGGCGTGGTTCGTGTTGTGCCGAGTTTCGCCGGTGCCGGGCAAACGAGAGACCTTATTATTCTGAGACCGGGCATAGGGCCTAATGCGGCCTCATCACGCAAATGTCACCGTCCGACATCGCTCGCGGGCAATGGGCAGAGACGGCGCGTAGCGCCGCCGAAAGATACGGCGCGGTGTAAAGCTGAGAGAGGCTGGGAAGAAAAGAAAAAAACTAATTTGGCGACCAGATTTGGTTAATTATTCATATGGACGATACAAAAAAAAAACTGTTTCCATTTTTCAACGGATGCTGCAAGACAACAATTAATCACGCACACAGGCAGGCCGGCAGGCTCGTGACCACACAATGACAAATATCCCCCTTATAGCCTCTAACAGACTGTTGGGGCAAGTGCTGTTTGCGAGCACCTACAAAGGCCGGCACGGCTCACGAGGGGGTGGTGTGGTCATTACCACGCCCGGCCCCGTGTCTGTCGAGTGCTCATGTTTACCACACCGCAGCGCCAGGTAGACAGAGTACTTATTTAAGGCTAAGTCTACCTTGGGTAGGCCCACGACTGGTTCATATATTCTCCTACTATATCAGATCACGGGCCACCGAGCTCGTGGGGCAGCGCGCTAACCACTGCACCGCCACTGCCCACAGCACACACAACACGTTTAGAGACACACACACATACACTGGCACACATCAAGATTGATAACACACTCACATAGACGTACACATCGCCTTACAACAGTGCAGCCTCACAGATGTATGCACTGACATATGCATAGGTCTAATATACGGGATTCACATACATAAGACAAAAAATACAAATATCCTAGACTATTGGGGCAAGTGCTGTTAGCGAGCAACTATGAAGGCCAGCACAGCCTTCATAGTTGCACCACGCCCGGCCGCCTTTGTCGCTCCAGTGGCGATGTTTACACACCGCACCAGGTTCTCAATTGAGGCTGAGTCGACCTGAGGGGAGGCCCAGGACAGGTTGAAATAATCGTCACTGGTAGTGGCCGTGAGCAGGAATCGAACCCAGGTCACCGGGTTCATACCGCAGCGCGCTAACTGCTACAATACCACTCCCCATGCATACGTAAACACATACACACACGTACTCATGATATTCACACACGTACTGATCACACGTACGGGTGTATCCACAGATTCGTATAAAACACTGACTCGCACGCGTACGAACTCCACGCATGCAAATGTAAACACTCATTTACAGACTGGCATTCTACGTGGACGAAACGCTCCCAATTTTCGGACCGTGCATATTTTGCTCCATGAACGGGGGGGGGGGGGCATGGGCTGCCGGACAGCCCTTGTCGTCGTTGTCGCTTCTGCAGTGCGGTCAAATCCGCCGATAAAAAAGCTCAAATTGAATGGAAATTGCGAGCGCTCGCAGCGAGGACGGAAAGCAGTCGGTCGAATGTTTCCAACGAGCCCGCCACCGCGTCACTCGCTCACTCACTTTCCCACCGGCAAACACCACCATCATCATCATCATCCTCCCGCCCGCCCGCCCGCATCAAGGTGACCTCTAAAGCAGACTGGGGGGGCGGTGGACACCCCGGCTCTGCGCCGCCACCGCGCTTGTGTTACGCAACGGCACGGCCCGCAAGGCGATAAAGACAAAGACACACACGTGTGGCAGCCACACAATGACTGTAGGGGTAAGTGCCGTTAGCGAGTAGCACCTATGAAGGCCGGCACGGCACGTGAGCGGGTGGGTGGCCAGCACCACGCCCGGCCGCCTTTGTTTCCCTCGTGACATTGGTTACACACCGCACCAGGTACTCATTTGAGGCTGAGTCGACCTTGGGGAGGCCCAGAACCGCTTCAGATAATCGTCACCAGGGAGTCTGTTGTTATTCCTTGCAGCGAGCGATAAATCTGTGCAATACATGAGCAGTATTTGATGTCCCATTCTTTTTAAAGCAATTATTTTTTTTATCTTTTAGTATAAAACAAATGTACTTGTGAAACACGTCTGGTGGTTTTTATTGTTGCCATTTTACTGTGAATTTCAACTTGAAAAGAATTGCAAACAAAAACAAAATATCCACCACCGGTGTGCACTGCAGTGTTCTGGCGAGACTCGTGCGACTCTTGATGTTGTTACTGTTGTTGCTGTTCCAACACGTGGATAAATAATGGCAGCAATGCGCACAGCATTAATCACGAAAGACATTGTTGGGGCAAGTGCTTTTCGCGAGTAGCACCTATAAAGGCAGAATGGGGTTGGGTGGCCAGCACCACGCTTGGCCGCCTTTGTCTCCCGAGTGGTGACGTTTTACACATTTACCACCACCACCACGACGGGTGTACAGCCTGCACACGTGACCCACCGGGGCAGGTCACGCAAACACAAGGCGACGACGCGACGGTCGCGGCAAGTGCCGTGGGGGGACGGCTGTGATTATGACTCCAAATTCCGAGGCCATCAATGCGACATTAGCATAAGCCGATAGTTAACGCCGAGGCGATAACCAACAGTATATACCGCGTAGAGAGAGAAGACCAAATCGCTGCACGTCTCTCGCACTGCGGTAGATTTAAACATCGCGCCAAGCTGCGCGGTGATAACGCACGTGTGCGTGCGTGTGTGTAAGCGTGCGTGCGTGCGTGCACGGGCGAAAGCGTCCGGGAACAAAGACCGGGGCGGCGAGTGAGAGTCCGCATTGCTGCGCCCGTGTACACAGAAATCCTCCCTCCCCACAGCCACACACGGCTGTGGCTGGGGAGGCGTGCGCTGTTAGTGAGCACCTATTAAGGGTCAGGGTTGGCCACACGAGTGGGGTGTGGTGCCAGCATCACCACGCCGAGCCACCTTCGTCTCCGCGGGCGCTGGTTGACTGCACAACGCGTACTCATTTAAGGCTGAGTCGACCGAGGAGAGGCCCGGGATACATGTACGTGTACAGAAATAAAACGAATCTCAGTGCCGTACAG